AGATAAACCCATATCCTTCTTTCTAGTTTTCCAAGCTGTCCTGGTTCAGGTTGGTATTTGTGGAGAGAAAGGACTACTTAAGAGTTCTTTCTAGATTACATCACAAAGATCTCATTGGGCAAAACCCAACATCAAGATGGGATACCCTTTACCTCAGCTTCCTATGGTCCCATGGTTGCCTCCTCTAAGCCAAGAGAAACTGATATTCAATAGCGTGTGAAGCTCATAGGTTCTGGAATTTTTTAAACAGCCCTGGAAATAATTGACACTAAATCAGACTACTTAATACCAAAGGATTTTTTTTTTAATCCCTACTTCTATGTCCACTCCTCTATCACTCTACAAAAAAGAAGAAGAAAACGGGGAGTTTGTTGTTAGGTCTGGTGCAGTCCACTGAGTCTAGGGCATGTGACCCACATCTGTAGAATGCTAATGGGCATGGCTGGCCTTCCACCTGTGACTTCGAATAGCAGCAAATGGTGCCCCCGTGTTCATCTCTCTTTCCTCTCCCCAGACTGCTGTCTATTATAAACATCACTCACACATCTCACCAAATTCATTGTGACGGGTAATATTCATTGCGCCCTTGGCTGGATTTAGAATCAGCCAGAAGACACACCTCTAGGTATGTCTGTGAGGCCTTTTCCAGAGAGATGTAACTGTAAAATAAAAACGCACCCCAAAAGTGGGGTTGGAATGGTCTCATAGGCTGAGGTGCCAGGGTAGTTAAAAGGGAAAAGAGAGAAAAAGAGCTGAGTAACTGCAGTCATCTCTCTCTGGTGTAGACACAATATGACCAGCCACCCCACACTCTAGCCACCAGGCCTTCCCCATCATGATGCACTGACCCTTCAAATACAGAGCAAAATAAGCCCTTCCTTGCTTAAGCTGTTTCCTTTCACATATTTTTGTCCCAGCAATGAGCAAGAACTAACACGATATTTCTAACACAGATCAGGTCAATCATCTTCTACCTAAAACATCTCTCTATAGAGTAAGGTCCAAAAGCTCTCAGCATGGATACATGACCCTGAACAACATAAGGCCATCTCTACAACACACACACACACACACACACACACACACACACACACACACACACACACACACACACACCTGCACTAATCACCCTTCCTACAATCTAAAACTACAGCTCTGGCGTCTGGTAGGAATAGTCTTTTGGACACCGTCATCTTGTAACACAAACTGATACAGAGCACCAGGGCAGCCTCTGTTTTCCCTGACTTTCTCTGGGTGACTCAGCCTCTGCACCCTCTTTTCTCATGGGACAACTATATTACAATCCTCCTCTAGATTGAATTCAAGGATGACTCCTTGCTGAGCTCTGCTGTCATCTACCTAGCAGAGAATCTGGAACTTAGTGTGCACTGTCAATGTGCCCTTCAAAGAAAGAAGCAAAAGCATAATTGGTAACATCATAAATAATAAAGAAGGAAAAAATAAATAACAGCCTCCGATTACCTTGTTTGCCTTATGCCTTCAATCTATTACTATTTACTCTTGAAAGAATTTTAAAAACCATGAGTCTGATAGTCTGCTGCTACCCAGTAGGTTATTATACACAGATTCCAAAAGCAAAACTACAATGTGCAGTGCAGAATCTCTTCTAAAAAAAACTCATCTGCCGCTGAGTGTTAGCCCTCAAAGCACACATCCTTTAAAGAGCACATCAAACAAGACTACAAATGCTTTATAAGACACCAAACATCAAATTAATATTAATGGTAATAGCAATAACAATTTCCTTTTAAGTAATTGATTGATGTGGAGAAATAGCCAAACCAGTTGACATGCAGTCCAAATTCTATATTTTTCTTCAGAAAAACAATTCACCACCAATGACAAATAACAATAGAGCCACTAAAACTACCTGTCATGTGTCTAATGAAGACAGATTCTCTGGCTACCACGTATAATATGTAATATCCAAAAGCGCTGCTGTAATTCATAGCTAATTAGTGTCTCAACTTTATGAGAGGTGTCATGCCCTAAGTCTCTTTTCTGATCTCCTCAGACCTCACAAGATCCGACAACCATGCGTAGATCACAACAACCCAATTAGCACCCATCCCAACCTTGGACCACTGCTTCCCAGAGCTGCCCCAGCCTCCATAAATCATGCTCTGTCATGAAGCTCTTCTCTGACAGCTGCAAGCCATTGCTGCCCGAGGAATAAAGACAATACTTGTAAAGAAAAGTCATGTGGGAGAGACAAAGATAGAAAAGGGATATCGTTTGCCTTCCTTTAATGGCACAGCAGTCAGCAAAACTGAAGACCATCAATTCTGACTGATTAAGAAGACAAGTGCACTAGGAAATAAATCTATGAGTGGTACATCTGACGCTCCTTAGTGATAATCAACTGTCAGCAATCGGATTGTTTGTTTGTCTTATGTGGATCGACTGGAGCCTTTTTCCTTTCCATTTCCCATTGCATAGTCTTCCCTCTGACTAATAAGAGAATTTCCCTTTCAGCAAAACATAATCAGATGCGTTTACTTTATCCCCTGTGAATACCCAGCAATCAGATAATTTGTTTGAAAGACTCTAAATTGTTTGACTTCATTGAAAAAAAAGAAGCTATAATGATTTGCTGGTCTCCAAAACAGTTCTACAGTGCTTCCCAAGTCCATAAGCAAGCTCTGGAGTATTCACAGCTCACGGCAGCCAATATCCTTGTAATTGTCTCCTAAGCCTGTCAAGCTGTTCTTTGTTCCATGATACTCATATAGAATGTTCTGAATAGTCACTGTAGCCTCCAAGATATGTGTGAGTCGGGTGACTCTACTTACACTTTGCTTTCCCCGTGGTAATATTCTTCTAGATCATATGCTAATCTGAAACATTTCATCTAGCTTTTAATAAACCACTGCAGCCAAACCGGATATATAAATAATGATAAAGGCAAATAAACAAATATGGATACATTAAACAAGGAATGCTTTTATAGCTCTTTTTATTAAGTGTCTAGATTTCAAAAGGATTTGATTTTCCTCCCGTGAAAATAGTATTCTCATGGAAATATTCAAATATTTATCTACAGAGACTCCTAGTGCATCATTTTTATAATAGAAAAATAATTGAAAACAACAATGTATGGAATATGAAACAAGTCAAATAAAGTGATGATTCCCCTCATACAAATGTAAAGTTATGTACCTTCTGAAATGGTAGTGCAGAATAAACACTAAGGGCGTGTAGGAACATTCACAGGATACTGCAAATAATAGATAAGAGAAATGGAGACTGGCTTCACATCATACATATGTAATTATGCATGTCCATATGTTTATTATACACATACATGTTAGTGTTATAAATATAGATACATATAGGTATATATTTCATGATTACCAGATCATCTCTGTTTTATTTCCCGTGTATGGAAGTGTCTGTGTATAAATATATATACATAAGTAAATGTAGGCCATTATAGAAAGAAGCCAGTAGGAAGAGATTTCAGTATTGAAAATATATCTGCAGTAAGTAATGTTCAAGATCATTCTTTTAGAAATATTTCTGTTTATATATATTTGTTTCATAACCAGGAGTAAAGCTCTTATATAAAATATTGGTGTTTACTTCAATCATTTAGATTTACACAGGTATATACTAGTGTGAAGTCCCATCCTGCCAGGGGATCTCTTCCAAATGACCAACCCCAATATCCAATAATCTTATTACCACCGTGAGTGTCAGCAACATCTTAAAAATCTAGGATCATTATACTTAGACACAACTCAAGAATGAAAATCAGAACAGCATTTTCATCCTCTTATCCATGGAGATTAGCAGGGATGAGATCATGTTCATTTAATTCTCAAATACCATGTAAACTCGGTGCCACAATCGTCAGGAGTACAGACCCACCATAAACCTGTGTCTACATCACTTGCATCATTGCCCTTGATTCTTCCTAGTACCAACCCATCTTCCCAAACTTCCCACGAGTTTGTGGAAGGATCAAGGGTGTCACATTTGCGCAACGTGGCCAGAGTTCCTGCCTGACTTCTTAAAAGGTGGCGTGGTGAAGGTCAACACAATTTCTAATGAGCCAAGAAGACATCATGAAATACCCAAGATCTTGATTAACATAAACCAAGGAAAGAGAAATGAAGAGAAGCAAAATCTACCCTCCCCCGCCAAAAAAAAAACATGTTTTATCTAGTAAAAAAAAAAAACAGAATACATGCTTAAAAGGATAATAACATGTGTGTGTGTGTGTGTGTGTGTGTGTGTGTGTGTGTGTGTGTGTGTGTGTGTGTTTAACGTATAGAGATCTAGACAAGGCAAGAGAGAGAAAGTTTCACACTTAGAGGTAGGTTGGTATGGGAACTCTAAGCAGAGATAACAACAAAGCAGTTGTTGCATCTGGCCTGGACCATAGCCTTGTGAAAGCAGACATGCAAGTCTGTAGCTCTGGAGATGCCTCTCAAGTCCCCCAGACTTCCGTTCTCTTAGGACAGCCCAGCAATGCATTTTGTCTTGAACTGAAAAACCTGTGTTTGACAAAGCTATGCATCTAGTAGGTTGACTAAATGAATTTTCATTCAATGTTTTTTTTATTTTTATTTTCCCTTCTTCTTAGATAAAGAAAGTGAAAACATAGAAAGAGGAGGAAAGGGAAAGAGAAATTGAATTTTCACAAGACTGGTTTTGATAATAGTACGAATTTTGCTTCTTTTTAAACATTTCTCCAAAAAGATACTAGGTAATGCAAACCCCAACCATGTGATGCCTGGGCTTTTCATTTCTTATCTATAGTTCATATACGGGGAATTGTTTGTAGAAACTTCTAGCTGTAGGGGTGTTATGTGTTTTTTTGTTACTCCTGAGCAGTTCAGAAGGTTTAATTTTGGTGAAATTGTGAATAAAAGAAATTGGGGAAACTTTATCGTTAGCATACTTAGGTACACACATCAAGCTCCTGACTGCAAACTTTCAAACTCCTACTCCACCCCCACAGAGCAATGCCTTACCTGAGAGGGAAAAGTCCCCCTTCTGGCTTTCACTCTCTCTGATTAGAAAGGCGCCCGTCTGGTTTTCCGCATACAGTAGCTGCTTTTCTGCATCTGCTCTTTTGATTGCTCCAAAGAACCACCTGAAAAGGAAAGAGACGTTAGCCCCAATTAACCAATCAGAGTCATTTTAAAAAGAACAAGAAGAAAACATTGCAACACCAGAAAAATTTGATATTGCTTCAGTAAAATTGTCATACATGTAGAGGGTAACTTTTGATACTTGAAATGACTTTTGGGCATCAATAACCCACTCCAGGACTCCTAAAATGAAAGTACAATGCAGAAATCTGATTGATGCCTGCTCCATACTCTTCCTCACCCTTAAGTCTTTTTGAGATCTTATGCTTGTATAAGCATGGCGCCAAAGAGCTGTGTGTTATACTCACCACCACCATCAAATTTCTACCACCATTAAGGTCAGAACAATTCAAAATGCTTTCTCCGTTCATTAATTCTTTTTCCCCCACCTCCATCACTACCAAAGCCCAAGGCAATATGGAATTACTCCATATGCTTCTAAGAAACTTATTATTATAAGGAAAACTTTAACCAGTAAGCATATTGCCTGGCAATATGTTCTGTATACTACACCCATCTCTGCCTTTGCGCACACACACACACACACACACACACACACACACACACATTCTCATAGATGATACTGTGAGACAGATACTGAACAAACAAGCTTGTAAGTGTGATCAAATCAAGAATTACAGATCTTCAGTGTCTCAGTCAGTGTAATTCTAAATACAATTGTAAAAATTCAAACCCAAACACACAAGTTAGTGCTAAGGATGAATGATTCAGTGAATGATATCGGAACCATTGAGAATTCATGTATATATATATATATATATATATATATATATATATATATATATATATATGTATATAAGCCTCCAGAATATACAATAATTTCACACAAAAATATCTAATACAAAAGGTGAATTTTAAAACTTTTTGAGGATACTGGGCCAGAACAACACCACCACTCTCCCCAAAAAATCTATAAGGATGAATAAGCAATACTAATTGAGAAACCTGATAATATTTTGAATACTCATTACAACACACCTTAAACTTCAATTCCAAAAAATTATTATAAAGTAAAAGTAAAAGCACACCCCACAAACCTTTGACAAAGTATTTACAAAATATATAACCAAAATGTGAGTGGGATTCATATTGTACTGGGGGATGGTCATTAACCAATAAAAGACAAAACAGGAGAAAATTGGCAAAGGCTATATGTGGACAATTTACAGAAACAGGAAGCCCAAGAAACTAATCAAAATAAGCATCATGGCCAGGGCCTGTGCCACAACTAGGTATATATTGTCCTCATATTGTTGAGTGTTGGGGAAAATGTCAGACAATGTTTACGAAATTATAGTGGCAATATAATTTGATATAACCTATTCAGAGACCATTCTGGCACCAGCTGGTGGAACTGGGTATTTGTAGGCAGCTCAGATTCACTTCCTGACTCTGTGTTTAATGTGTTCAAGAAAATATGCAACAAGAAAATCCACTGAAGAATTTTAGCATTGGCACAGGAAACAAGTATAGGGAGTGTTGCTCAGTGATAGAACACGTAGTTAGCATGCTCTAGAGCCTGGGATGGATCACTAGCACCAAACAAGAAAGAAAGGAAGGGAGGGAGGGAGGGAGGGAGA